GGATTATAGTCCTATGGTCGAATGCGAATAGATCTGGGTCTGTGATCTGATGAAATTAATACTAGGGTTAGATCAGAAAGTTTAAATAGAACATCTAAGCAGAGGTGTTAAGTACAGCAACTGGTAGAGAACCCTCAGGTGGACTCCTTAAATAGATAATATAGAAAAGTTACATGTGCAGCCAGTTGTATACTTGTCTAATAGTTCATTATAGATACATCTATATAAAACATATACCCACTATAAGTATTAATAAAAAGCTTAGACCAAAGAGGTCACCTTAATACCGAAAAAAAAAGTATAGGTTCAATTAGTTGGCATGCATTGTGTATAGTATTTGACTATAATATATTGTGATGAGCAGAAATTGTAATATTGAGATATTGAAACAACTAAATAATTTTAAAATTAAGAATAAGTTTTTTGTATCTGTCAATAATAGGTTGGTTATGTTGAAGGATATTAGTAGTAGACCAAAAGTTATTTTGAAGTTGTTGCAGCCTAATTTTAATTGTTGTGCCAAGAATATTAGAATCATTAATCTATTGTTGAAAATTAGTAATGTGATGTTGCAATTGGATGTTCCAAATATTATGGATATTATATAAATATGAGTTGAGCATAGAGCTATTAGGCAAGGATCTGAATAAGGTAGATTTATGTTTAGCTATAGTAAGAAATTTGGCTAATATGCCATTACATATAGAGTATGAGAAAATAGTATTGTGTAGTCTATATTCAATAGTTGGTATAATTACTGTATTAATGATATATGCTATTTGTTTTTTAGTAATTTTTTTAGTACTAGTAATATTGATTAGTTGGGTTGCTTCAGCTTGAATTAGCTAGTCTTGTTTAGACATAGATCCATTAAGTGTAAATTAGCAGCCTAAGAATTTGAATAGTTGGTTGACTAAAATAGGTTTAATTAATAAATCAAAGAAGAAAAGTTCAGTAATAGATAATGTATTAGAAACTAGAATAGATTTGGCTGAATTAATTTGTATATCTGCTATGTAATAGAAGGATGATGCCATTTTGGTAATTGATTCAAGTTTATTTTTTGACTGTACTATCCAGAAGGTATCATTCATGTATATCAGTACAGATATAGAGGTTTGTAAGTTTTGTAGTTAGAATAAAGAGAGGTTAGTTTTCCATAAAGTATATAAAGTATATCTATGAAAATAGTTAGCAATTTTATTAATAAGAGGGTCATAGTAAATTCACCAAAAGAGTTGTATAATTGTTTCTTCTTGATCAATATTATTTTTAACTGTATAAGAGTCTGTAAGTTCAAGGTTAGTTATAATACAATTATGGTGATCAGTAAGAAGATAGTTAGGATTTTAATAAGATGTTGAGGTATTTGTAGTCATAATAAGGATTTTCTAAAAAGATTAGAGTTAACAGAGTCATAGGCCTTACTCATATCTTGTGATAGTAGCCAAAGTTGTTTAGAGTTGCAGAAAGCATCTTCTATAATATTGTTTAAGATATGTATTGGAATTGATATACTATTATCAGAAAGAGCAATATAGTTGTATGAAAATAGGATAGAGTGTTAGATAAAAATACTATTAAGTCTATTAGTAAGAAGTTTTGTATAAAGTTTTTTAATATGTTCAAGAAGGCTAATAGGTTTAGTATTAATAAAGTTGCTATCAAATATAGGTTTTTTGAATATTAAGAATATTTTTTCTTCTTTTTATTGCTTGGGTATGCACTTTAGTTGAAGACATTTGTTAAATAATGCAGTTATAGCTATTATAAATATAAAGGCTGCATGTTTTAGTATTTCATAGCTAATGCCTGATGGACCACAGTCTTTGTTGTTAGAAAGTTGATTTAGAGTTATAGAAATTTTTTCTTCAATAAAGTTAGTAAGATCCTGTTGGTAGCAGTCAGATTCAATATCAACTTTGGATTAATATTTATCTAACTAGAAGAAGTTAAAGATTTGAGTTTGAATATAGCAAGGAGAAGTCTATTGATCAAAGTGGTCCCAAATGCATTGTTTAATATATGAAATTTCTGTAATGATATTAGTATCAGTTTTTATATTGTCAAATCTAACGGAATCACAGTGTTAATTAAGTATACTGTTAATCATTGATATAGATTTGTATTAAAGTTTAGAGCATCTTGTTGCTATATTATAATTAATTTGTTCTCTAATATTTTTAATGTTTTCTAAATTGCATACATGATATAATAATTTTTATTTTGTATTAGCTAAGAAAATTTATTCAGATAATAGTGCATAGTCACTTGGTATAGATAGAATATTAAGAAGATAAGAAAGGTTAAGTTCATGAATTATTTGATTGTATTGAGTAGATATAGTTGATTGTTGCTGAATAAAGGCTTTGATTTATCTAATGATGTTTTCAAGTTTTTTAAGATAGAAGTGTAATTGTGATGCTTTTGAGAAGAATATATATTGGAAGTTGCATATAATAAATTTTTTATTTGGAATTTGTGTATGTGTAGCAGAGATAATACTAGTTTGGATTTTGTGCCAGGTTGCCTTAATAGAGACAGTTATTTGATAAGAGAGAAATGTGTATTTATTTTAGATTAGATCAGACTTAGTCAGTAAAGTTTTGCCAAAGTTCATTATTTATGTTTTTGTATTAAAATATTCTTCTTTTGGTGTTAGTAGCAGTTCTTTGTTTGTCTATAAAGGCATAAAGAAATTTCCATGTAGAAATAAGAATGTCATGATCACTATAAGTGCTAGATTTGGATTATCAGTAGTATATGATATGAGAAGATTTAGTACAAAATCCCAAAGAACTAAATCCTGATAGTACTATATCCTGATGCTCAAAATATCAAAAGATTAAAATTTCAATAGTGCATTAATTCAAAAACTAAATATGAAAAAGAAAAATTCTGATTAATTATAATCCTGAAGAATCATAATCTTAAAAGAAAAATATTTCAAATATAATAATCCTGAATATAATAATCCTGAAAGTAATACTTCCAAATTAATAATCTCGAAAGTAATAATCTCAAAAGTAATAATCTTGATTAAATTAATGATCTCAAGTTAGAGATCTTAAATTAATTTGATCAACTTTTCAGTTGCAATTAGTTGAATATAAATATAATTTAAAATATTTTGATTTAGACTCATGTTAATAAGAATGCTTAGATTAAACTTTAAGTAGTAGTGATTCTCCAGAATTAATGACTATGTTAAAATCTTCTTTATCATTAATAAGTTCAAGGTAATCTGTTAAAAAAATACAAACATTTTAAAATATAGATTATTGTATTTTTGAAATAAATTAGAAACTGCACAATTATATATAGTATTGAATTACATATGTTACTAAATAGTCTAGCAAGTAACTTTTATTTTTAATACATAAATTGGTAAAGGACTTTATTTGCATAAATAAATATATGCATAGCTGATATAGAGTAAAATAAAATTTAATAGATACTATTGCATAAATATATCAATTATAATTGCTAAACTTGAAGTACAATAAAAATTTTGTAGAGTACTGATATATTAATATCCTTTTATTGTTTTACTATTTAATTTTTTTTTAAAAAAACAACTCCTTATACTAATTTTTATTATGCATAAAGTATTACATAGTACATAATACTGTATCAAAATTCTAAAATTATTTTTTACAGTAATACCTTTTTCTTTCTACATATTCAAGTTAATTGATTCTAAGATTTGAAGAAGTTAGTGTGATATTTTACATAATGCTTTTACTAATTTATTTATTTTATAAAAAAAAAAAAATTATAAAGCAATATTGTGGGTGATTGCTTTAAGAAAATCTATAACTATACGATTTGGTCAGTTATTTAATATAGTCATGATTCATTTTTCATAATCAATTGATTTTTTTTTTTGCCGTGGTCACTGCTCATCCTGAAGAATTTTCTCAATTTCATTATCAACATTATGTTGTTCTTTCTAAAATTCTTTAATTATTGTGTAGATTTCAACATATGCATGATCAACTAAAGAATCCCAACATTGATGCCATGCTTCAATCTTGTTCTGTGTTCTTGGGATGCCAGCTTTGACTGAATCAAATACAGATCACAATGTTGGAGAGAATAAAGGTGCACTTCGTGACACATTGCCATTTTGATATATTTGACATACTTTCTATAAACATAATACTCCTCAAACAATTGAATAATATTTCTTGCTTCAGGAGATATTTCTACCTTTAATATATCAAATGCAGCAGGAATGTCGGCTGGTAGTAAAAATGCCAAAGCAAATAATTGGTGTATTTTCAAATTTAAATGATTATCAGTACCATATTGAACAGATAAGCCTAACTCTTGTACTTTTCTTCAACTACTTTGTGCAAAGTGAAAAAAGCAGCCTTTGTTTGTTATACATAGAAATGCATTACAAGATGCATTAATGGTTGCAATCTTAAAATCAGTGATAATTTTTAACAGTTTTAATATAAATTCATTTTCTGCTGCAAAGTCGTTTAGATCTTGAAACAACTGCATATAGAGCTCTTCTGATTTAGTGCTCATAAGAGCATAAACGAGTGGAAAGATCTAAGAGTTTTCACTTGAACCAACAGGAGCATGAATAGTATAAAACTGACGAAATACTATAGAGACAGTTCGAAATATTCCATCCATTATCCAAAAAGATGCTTGAGACAAACATTGTACATTAGTTTTAGTTATAAATATAAGAACTGACCTAGTCCAACTTGTAAATCTCTAATAAGAAACAATTCTCCCTTTAAAGTATATTGAAATGGAAGTAGTATATCAACTTCGTCAAGAGTTTGAGGTTGTGGGGGCATTTCAGAACTTAAATACACTTTATTCTCATACAAAGTGCATCCTTTAAAGGCATATTAGATACCAAATTTTCATCAACAGAAGCAATATTATTTTGGATAATCTGAACAGGTGAGTTATGAGTTTCTCTTGCTTGTTATTTAATACATTTAACTAATATAGCTACTTTACTACTACTTACTTGAGAGGAGTGTTTATGCTTGGCAGTTTTTTTAAGAAAATGTGAACTATTAGAAAAGATAGTTATTGCATGGCCTAAACAGTTTTCAGATCTTTTTTTCTCACAGCTTCAGTAATAAGTATTTTTCACACAGCATTCTTTAACTAACAAGAAACCATAAACATTTAGTTTTACTTTTCCTTTTTGAGAGGTAACAGTTTTGCAAATTTTATTCATATTGACATGTTCAAGAGTAAAAAGCTTTTAAAAAATTTTTTTTTACTTATATATTTAATGAAATATTACAACTCCGCTGACCAAAACAAATCAAGTATAACAAAAAATTTTAAAAATAATAGAAAAATTAGATAAACCTTCTAATTATGCGATCAATAGAAATGAGCAAAATTGATATGTATTCTTATCTGATATTACTTAATATTATTTGATTTTTTTGCAAATAGATAATAGTAAA